TGTCATGCATGCCAAGTTCACGAGAACTTGACCCACAAGCCTCTAAGGTTACTACAAGACATGCACACTCCATGGCCATTTCATACTTGGGGGTTCGACTTGATCGAAAAAATCAAGCACCACTGCTCTGCGTTGTACTATCCATAAGAAAATAGTTAAGCCAAAACCACAAACAAGACACTTCTAAGGATCCTAAGAGACATTGTGCACAATTACTTTAGGGGCTGGAACACGCATCTCCCAAATGTTATGTAGGTCTATCGTACGTCTCCAAGGAATACTACAGCTTACTTAGAATGGAGGTGGACAAATCTCGAGTCATTCGAGGAAAGAAGAATGGAAGCAGTTAGGAAAGCAACTATATACCACCAACAAGTTACCATAGTCTACAATCATAGAGTCGAGCCAAACAGCTTCAAAGAAAGAGATATTCTTTTTAGAATGCCCATATAAAAGCAGACCTCTAAACCTTCAAAGTTTTCCCCACACTGGAAAAGTTCCAATCAAGGAAGCTTACGAAAGCACATGCTACTACTTGCTACTACTTGAGTTCAGTCAACGATGACATGCCAACAGAACTAGTCAATGGTAAGAGGCTTAAGCCTTATTACTGCTAAGACTCTCTTACTATTTCATCACGCTTATTAAGAAGAAGAATCTCCTTCTACATCATGATCATTTTGTCTACTCTATGAAGCTTTGTAAAGCTTTGCACCGATTGATGTACCTCAAATTTTAAAGATATAAATGGAGCATTTTGTCAAAATCTTTGGTACATTTATCCTTTTACATTGACGAGTGTAAATGCAAGGACTTCTTCTAGTGAACATGTTATAGTAGTAATCAAGCTAAGACTATAAAAAAATCTCAAGCCTTCCTAAAACTCCAATCACGTTAAAGTTAAAGCAATAACCCATGCCAAGCAAGCTACATAATGGTTTAAGCAATGTCCATGCAATGTGCCAAGTCAAATTGCAGCACGCCATGCAAAACCATTCGAGTGAAGCAAGGAAAACTATTAAAGCAATCAAGCTAATCAATGTTAAGCCTAACAATACGAAATCGAGGACAAGCCTAACAATGCAAAATCAATGCCAAACTTAACAATTCAAGATCAAGCTAAACAGTGAAAGCTTTTAAAACAATTAAGCCAATCAATGCCAAGCAAGTCAAGCCTTCTTAGCACACTTAGTTTCCCCAAGGAAACTAGCCTAAGCATTCCCACCTTCCCCAGGGAAACTCACTGGCAAAATGCAAAATGCCAGAATCAACCATAAAAAACAAGCAAAAGCTAAAGCCTATATCTCAAAGCTTGACAAGATTTTACTCAACAAATCCCCATGCATGAAAGTAAACTCCAATTTCATTACAAGACCAAATATACCAAGTATCATGCCAAGTTCAACATCAAAATTCAAAGCCAAAGCAAATGAAGAAATAAAAGTGAGACAAAACACCCCATTGTCTGAGGGAATAACTAGCCCTTCGAAAAGCAAGATTCAGGAAAAGATCATGCTCTGCCAAGAAAAGGAAATTGAAGCTTAAGCAAGCAGACAACCAAGTGACATGCAATGCCTGGGAAAAGCAAAAGATAACCACAACGAGCTACTTTTCCAAATGAAAGTTGGAAGCATTAACCTGCATTTGATTCACCGCAAGCTAAACGCAACTCACCATCTACATTCACTTGTAAGGAAAGCACAAAGTGTGCCTCATGAAATGATAGATCAGTAAGCAGAAGCACGAAATATTATAAGCAACTGAGCCTATCCGAGGTAAAGCCTCAACAAGATAACATGCCTATGCATGCACATATGCAACACGAAGAAAGACATGCCAATGCTCAACAAGGATTAGTCACCTCATAGTGTACAAATGAATCCATGCAAACAAAAGAGAATGGGCAAGCAGTTGCAAAAGTCCACACAAAGATGTCCATAAGGAAAAAGAAATTCCTTTACAGTCGCTGCATTTGCAATAGTCATCACGATGGGAGAACATGATACATTCACTCGGACATCATCATTGAGGAAAACATCAACCTCATTGAAATTATCAGCACCAATCATCTTGTTGTCACTCCTGTCACTTGATCATGTATCATTATCCTCTTCAACCGCACCTTCCCCAAAGAAGCTTGAGGACGCATTATGCTTCCCAGCTTAGAATCGGCACTCGAATTGATGCTCTCTATAGCTTTTAAATCCTCACTAAACTCCTTGTCATCAGCAACACTGCTAATACCGATCATCTTCACTTGAATCGATAGTATCAAGATATTCTACATGCTTAGGGCACCAAATGAAGCAAAGGCCCGTGAACTCATGGTTCTATAAGTAGGACTGACAGGGGCAGCTTCTTTATCAAATATTACAATGAAGAGACACAGTCATCATACAACAACTAAAGCATGGCAAAGCAACAAACAAAAATCCACCTTAAAAAAACAAGCAAATGTTCTTAGAGATAGCAAAATCTCTAAGAGTTCAAGAACCTCACTCAAAATCCGATGGCTTTAATATGAGACTAATTTCCTTACATTCCATAATATGGGACTAGCTTCCCTACATGCCATCATACAAAAGCCTAAGGTCTAAACATGCGACTAGCTTCTTTACATGCTATCACGCATAACACATATATCTTTCCCTACACATGCCATGCTAACAAGCCATAAAAACATAAGAGACATCATTAGGGAAAGCATGCTATATAAATGCTAATGAAAAGCAAGCTATATGCAATCAAGGAACCATGCCCAACCAAACAATGCACCAAAACTAATCCAACTTGAACATGCTCCAATAAGAATTCAAGCCGGGCTATGAGGTAATCCCACGATGCACATGAAAAGTAAGAAGAAAATCACAAGGAAACACATCATCACAATGTCACCAGCAGCCACACGGGAAAAGGAAAAGTCTCATAAGGAAAGCCACAATCATAAATCTCTTGGGCTTGGGTTTGATTATTTAGCTTGCTCAAGGTCTTTCACAACCCAAATAATTAAGGGGGCTAATTTGGAGGCCCAAAAATGTCACATGCAAGCCTAACCAAGTCTCGAGGCCCAACTGTCATGCAAACCTTTATTTAAATTCAAATACATGCAAAAGTGCGAGATCAATGAAGAAGTATATTTACAAACAGACCATGCTACGGCAATTAGACCAAATCATGCCATGCCTATTCATCATGCTAATCATTATTCATGTTACGATAAGCCCAAGTCACATGCTCGGGGGTTGTCAAGTGAATTATTGTGTGGATGGTTACGTAAGTTCATTGGGCCTACATGGAGTCAAGATTATGGAAGACTTTGGGTTGCTTGGGAGCCCAAACATCTAAGCCCATAACCTTTGTATTCCACGTGGGTAAGTTTGATAGAGAACCAGCCTAGTTTCCTTCTTTTCCTAGCAAGCTAACCAACTTAGTTAGGGAGGAACCAAGCCCTGACCCTTATAATCACATGAAAGCCCAGCAAAACATGCATTTAATAAAGAGAGAAGTAGACTTTCCCTTCCTAGCTCACGCACAAGTCCAACGCGTGAAAGCCATGAGGCACGCTACCAAAAGTAGCGCTTGTGGAAAGCTGGCCTGGGAAACTCACACATTAGGAAGAAGACATGATGTAGGTTTTACAATCTAGCCTCCTAACACCAAAATATGGGGTAGCAGGAGAACTAAGGAGAAATGAAAATGAGAACCAAGCCGCAATTAGAGATTCCTTAGGAACCCTAGAAATGAGTCATTCACCTTAAAAATAGGAGTCAGAAGCCATTAAAAGGGATCCAATGACTCAGCCCAGAAGAGGAGAAGACAAAGAGGTTCAAACATTAAAGAGAAACACAGAACCATCCCCCAAACTTCCTTCAACCGTTTCAGTTAAGGAAAACCTCTTTACGCCCAATCCTCCCACTTCACAGAGTGAACCAAAGAAACCTAGATTATCCAACAGAGAACTCATGCAACCATGCCAACTCTCTTTCTCAACATGCTAAATTGATGAACATCAAGCTTCCACACCATGCCTCACTTGAGCAAGCCATTATTTGCTTAATCATGCTATCTTCGAGTCATTTATCCAACTGGGATATTTCCTAAGATGTGCTAATTCTTTCGAGATATTATGGGACCCGGTACGAAACCGAACCAAGAGAAACAAGAGGACGCTCTCAAAGTCCAAGTCCACCTTGACCAAAAAGTCCCCCAACTCCAATAAATATAACAAATATATCGTAAAAAAATTAGCTCAATCTCCAACTTCTTGGTGCAAATCTCAATATTACAATTTAGTGATATTCATCTCCACTTATAAGTTAAATGTCTTGGGTTCGACTTCCGTAGATGACGAACTCGATACTAAATTATTATTACTGATTAATTATATGGCTTAACCTATATGTCAAACGTATTAAAATAAAAAATAAAATAAAAATATAAAAATAAAAAATAAATAAAACAACCTTAAAATAATCAAATATACATAGATGGCAAATTGGGTCAAAGTGACTTTTAGAGAGAAAAGTGGGATTTCAAACATCTTTCGAAGGGCATAATAATCATTAAACTAGAAAATACACTAAAATCATAACTACAAAAAATATATAGTACAACATGTACCATCGTATAAACTCTATAGGTCAAACATGGCTAATCACTACCATTATCGAGGTTGTTTTCAAATTAATTACATATTACTAAATGTGGAGTTTTATCATAGATTGTATAATATTATCCCCTAGGATGAAGTCGTCGGGGATAATAAACTATTTAATATTTTATTATATATATGAAGTGGGACAGTATTCTCCAACAACATATTTCATATTTGAATAAAATCAAAATTATTCTAGAAAAATCATTGAATATTATCCCCTAGGATGTTCTCAACGGCACAATGAATTTGTTAACTGAATTTTGTAGTAGCAATCATTCTTGATCTCACATATACAATCAAAATTAAAACGCAAAGCAACGGCGCATAGAGGATACAAATACCTTCACACGCAAGCCAACGTCTCCATACAATGATAAGTATCTCGCCACCCAATTTGCAAAGATCTCTTGCCTTTGAGAGTTAACTCACAAGCTGTCTTACAGGTTCTGTCTAAAAGATTATAAGAGATGACTTTACAAGGAATATACAAGAACATAGCTGTCTCCTCTTCATTTTCTTCTCGAACAAGAAAGAGAACAACAAACTCATAGTACCAATTTTCTTCACTAGGATCATCAATATTATGTTGCGGAACCATCTTCGGAAACTTGGCGGTTATTGTATCAAGATCAACATGGTACTTGACAAACCAGCCAGAGTAGTCCCTCCCCATCTCCATCACGTCAAATTGAGTAAAGCAAGGCCTATAAATTTCAATGAGGTGCAAATGGCCGCGTGACTCCCCGAAATATATATACTCCCGCTTGCGAAAAACATTGTAATCTGGAGGCCTGCACACCAATCCATGACCCTCTTCATGATCTAAGTGATAGTGCAACAACCTACTTGTACGGCTGATCCAATTAATTGCACCATTGAAGTACACCCCATGGCTGAAGTCAATATGGAATGGCCTATCAAAAGTAGACTTTCGAAGCGTCCAATTTCGAGTCTCAGACGAATATATCTCTACTTGGAATGAGACAACAGATCCAGCAATGCACTGGACGCAGATAACCTTGTAATGAATCGATTTGGAAGGGTCAAAAGCCAAAGCAACCCCCAAAAGGCTTGTGGAATTAGTAGCATACGGTGAATTAGTGAGAGCTACAAAATGATTGGTTGTGGGATTGAGTACATAATATGTTGGGGTAGTTCTCGTGTTTGTAATTTCGTGAGAGGTACAACACAAGAGCAAGCCATTGCAAGACTGCAAAATCTTAAGGCCTCTTGGTAGACCTCGGATGAACTCAGGATGTTTCGATGGAGACCTAAATGTGTTTTCGTTGTTCTGAATTGATATGCGGTAGATTTGCATTGTTGTGTTAAAGAAGGCTGAGAAATTGGGGTACGGATTTTTGAAGGTATGGCTGTCACAAAATTTGGGGTCAGAGATTAGAGAGAGCCAACGCTTGCATACGCATTTGAGGCGAAGTAGAGCTCGAGTTGGGATGCACAGAAGGATTGGTGTGAGCAGGTTTTCATTGTTGGCTAAGATTTCTGCTGGCGAAGAAATTATGGGCAGATTAGGACATCGACCCTGCATTTTTTAAAAATTTTGTTCTGAGGGTGACAATGAAATTAAAACCAACTCCAAAAAGGCAGAAATGCTAAAATATAAAATGTTCTCAAATTGTAGTTTTCTATTTACGTATGCAAAAGTACAAACATGAATTAAGTATGTGGGTTCCCCTTACCAACCAATTCATTGTCTCATCAATGCCGTTGCCAAAGTTAGTAACAAATTCATTGGCCCCCCTACGTGCATTGGAACACTTCTTAAAGTATCTTCTTGCTAAAATTGGCTTTCACATGCTTATTTTGTAGCTCAAGTGGTAAAGCTTACTTGCATTTATTTCTACACTTGAGGTTATAAATTTAATTCATTCTTCTTTCACCATCACTTGTGTCAAAAATTGGCTTCCGCATAAATAACTCTGGGCCACTCAAGTAGTAGGCAATTTTTTTTTTCCTCTCTCTCTTTTGAGAGGGGAATTAGGATAGTAAGTTAAAGGTCAACAATAAGTCCATGTTGGGATGTAACCTTGGATTTAGATTCACAACAAGCCGTAATGGATTTAAGCTTATAATTTGGTATCAATGATTGAATTAGATTAGATAACTCATACTGCATCACACCAAAATCATGCTCAAAACACTGAGCTTGACAAGGTAAGTACATATATCACCATATATCCCCTGTATCGCAGGTATATTTCCATTTTACCCTTTACCCATCGGAGAACTTGATTCATTTCTTCACATGTTTATGTCGACTTTGCTTTTGTTTTTTTTTTTTTTTTTTTTTTTTTTTTTTTTTTTGGGTTCATTCCACCATCCTTCAACTCTTTTCAATCTGCAAAAAATATAGTCAATATGGACTATAACAATGAACAATTACAAGTTGTTGCAATAATTGATGTACAAAATAATTGGAACCCTATTAAAACAGGTGAAGAAGACATACAAACATCAAGGGAGACAGTGAGATGGGAGGTATATACTTTTTCATTGACAATGGCTAAATTTGTTGCATAATTCTATCCCTATACCATTTAATTCATTGCCTGCAGCTAAGGCAGTAGCTAGGAACCAAGACCTCGTCACATTGATCCTTGTACGCCTGCCCGTGAAGTCACTTCTCTGCTTCAAATGTGTCTCCAAGCAGTGGCTTTGTCTCATCTCCAGCCAAAATTTCTATAGCCACTTCCTCTGCATGCATCCTCTTGTCTCAAATTCCCAGCCGCATCAGTCACCCATATCTCAATTGCAGCAGTTCAGAGCAACCCCTTTTCATCTCTTGACTTCATTGATGATTCAGCAGGTGTTAAGTTACTGCAGTCCATCAATGGCCTGGTCTCGGGGTGTAGCTTTTACAAGTTGGGAAAAACTATTAGTTATTATGTCTGCAACCCTTCAACAAGGCAATTCTCGACGCTTCCTCCACCTAATGCCAAGGGTCATGATTCGTTATCAACTATTTTAGGTGTTTATTTATCTTTTGATCCATCCAAATTACCTCATTACCAAGTCTTCTGCATTCAAAATTGCTCTTCATCAGCAGCAAATTTGGATGGTTTCCTTTTTGTCCAAGAAACTGAAGAGGGCTCATCACTGTTGCTGCATATTCCTGGTATGTTTATATCTTATAATATTAGAGATAAGAGTTTCAAGGAGATGTGATTTTGATCCAAAATCCACCAAAACAAATGCAGCATTACATGTTGGATGCGTTCGTGCTCATCAGTTTATAGACTCTTGCTAGTGTTTAAACATTTAAAGATGTCAATTTGCCTCCACTTATTGTTTGTACAATAGAGATTAAAACCGTTGTAAATATTATGCCATTTGAGTTTGGGATATCCAGAGTCTAAAGATTTTCCTATTAAGTTTGAATTCAAATGTAAATTTTCACCCCTTAAAGCACCATTGGAGAGTTGCAAATTTGGGACGTAAAGACTATATTTATATTGTATTGGGGATATTGATATTTAGATCCTAATAAGTCTATATATTTTGGATTCTATTTGAGATATTAATGTAAGTTCCACTTTAATTGGGAAGATCTATATTTTAAAAGCGTTTCCTACTATGCGGACGGTTCATTTGTGTGAATATATATAGGCAATTGGATTTTATCTCAACGGCTATAAACAAATCAATCAAAGAGAGCTTACACTAGAACTGGATCACAAATGACCCGTCATTAAAACCCATTGGACTCGACAACAGTTACCTCTTCATTAGTTTTGTCATCTCCTCCGCCAAAATGCTCCCGCGAACAACTTCCAAAAAAAAAATTTCAATTGACTTCCACAATGTTTGAAACTCAATTGACTTCCACACCGCGCGTTCAAAACTCAGTCGAACTTCGTTCGAAATTTGTTCTTAATTCATCTAGTCAATTCGACAGGAATGACGTGGTACTTGCTTCCCTTAAGTTGATGTCAAAGTCCTTGCTTGGACAATACTTGACATCATAGTTCCTTCCCCCAAGTCAATTTGAAATTTAGTGAGTTCGGAAATTTGGAGCTGTAGAAGTAAATTTTAAGAATTAGCGTAAGATTGCTAAATTCATGATGCTTTGTTCATGGTTGATATATTGTGAAAACTGGTTGACATGTTTGTTAAGGGTATACATTGTTAAATTTGGTTGTGTTGAATGCTTATATTGTTATATGTACAGGAAATGGCAATCGGGGGTTCAAGTAGTGACAAGAGAAGAAAAATCCTATAGAGGAAGGGTTACCAACCTACCCCAAGCTTGTCATGTGTTAGGGGTGATGTGTCAAAAGTTTAATAATACCCAGATTGTTGTCTTTAGGCATCCTTCTTCTAGCACTTAAAGCACGTTGATAAACTGGCCTTAAGTGGTCAATTGGTTTATTTGAATTGTAGCTCCATGGAGTGGCAAGTCAAGGGGTAAAAGACTTAGAGGGAATCACCTATTTACTTAGCTATGAAGTGACCTGGTTCACAAAGGGCTTTTGCCTCATTATTGGGCTTCGGTGTGACAAACCCTACGACATAGAGGTTGAGCTTTCCAAGATTAGGTTATTGAATGAGTATGTTCCTAAGAAGTTTGGATTTGATATAGAGAGCAGGAAGGGTAGGAGAGATAAGGGCAAAGGTAAAGCGAAGATGGACCCCAAGAAAGTGAGCAAGAAAATATGGTGACTTGCACCGAATTTGAAAGAGCTTTTAAAGAATGCGAAAACAAGGATTATGTGCTGAAGATAGGGCTGGTATACTTTGCGAAGGCTATCATGATAAGGGCGAAGAGCAATGTCGCTGTGAATCTAGACTACTTCCACCTCATTGAGGACATGGATAGGTTCAATGATTATTCATGGTGGGGTGCAATATCATTTGAACAACTTCAAGACTACCTCATTTGCTGCTTTTAGGAGAGGGAAATGAAGAGTGGATGATGATGTGAACAAAAATGATGAGGAGGAAAAAGAAGGAAGGGCAAACAAGAAGGGCAAAGAGCCTGATTGGGCTGCAAAGGCTTTACGTATGCTTTTCAGGTACTATGTGTTGCTTATGTAGCTATTAATGCTATAATAATTGTGATTGAGTACTAATTTAGTTTTACGTGCAAGTATGGGTATACGAAACAACTCCCCAACTAGATAAGTCCTTATGTTATTGTAAGATAATTGATTTAGCATGTGATGAGCCGATTTTAAATTATATATTTAACCCTATTCTTGGTATGCTTTGGTAATTATTTTGGTAAAATTTTAATACTTATATTAACAATGTAGGACTTGTGAGTCCTTCTTGAGCTAAAAGTGATCAAACAGATAAATTTTGGAGTAATTCCAATTGGAGGATGTTCGTGAGTCTTTCAACTTGTTCGTGTCAAAGTTTCAGATTTTTCTACCAAGCGGTTAAATATGGCGATGAAATAAATGACCAGCACGTAGTGCTACCAAGGTTACGTTTTGGGCTTATTTAGACTTTTTGGCGTCCAAGATGGTGTCTTTTGGTAATGAGTTTGCCTTCAAATATGTTTAGGATATCTGAAGCTTTAGAAAGAGTCATCTTAGGCCTATTTTGGAGGTGTCTAAGGTCCTAACCATGGCAAATCTTTGAAGAGGCAGATTCTCCACATTAGTATTAGGATTATGTTTCTGGTTTTTAGAAGACCCTTTCTACGAAGGATTTTATTTTGTGGTAGTATAAATAAGGTTAGCTAGCATTAGGGTTCTCTACACTCTTTTGGAGCACTCGGCTTAGAGAGCTTCGACGATTCAAGTTTACTTACAAGGTGTTCTCTATCCATTCTTCTAATAATATTTTGTTTTTTTTCTTATTAATTTCCTTTTGCTAGGCTGGGGCCACAAGTCTTAGCATGAATATGTAGTCTTTATTTAAGTGCTTATGATATTATGCGTGCATACTTTGAATTATTAATTACTGTGTTTATACTATCTCTATGTCTTAATGCTTAGCTACCATTAAGATATTTAAATAAGTAATCAGATGCAATTCGGTCGGAATATCAACGGATGATTGAGTAGGGCTTCTTGTGATTGATAAATGTAAGTTCACAATTTCAAATCTTTCCCAAAACTTGTTTTAAATAGTTAGCTAAGGACTGGTTTTAAATACAATTTCAAATCTCTGTGGAGAACGACCTCGTTTGAGTCGTTTATTTTACAATTACTTTTTACTCTTGCAAATATTTTTAAGTATTTTTATCCCTATTTTTGCAGATGGTAAGAATCTTATCAGCAGCCATCCCATGACTTCTCAACTAGAAAACAACAGAGAAGCAATTCACTTTCGAGCAGCTGAAGATGTACATCACGTAGAGCTGAGAGGTATGACTATTTATGAATGTATACTACTGTTTATGAATGTTTGTGAATGTTTAAGTATGGTTATGTGTGATAAATTAAATTCGGATGACTGTTATGTTAATTAGCAGCTAGTGTATGTTGGATAGTGGCCAAATTAGGCTAGGAAACAAAACAAAATTGATGAGGGAACATCATGATGAGGATTATGTTTTCTTGTTTTGTGGCTTGTTTTGTTCCTTGTTTTGTGGCTTGTCTTGTTCCTTATTTTGTGGCTTTTTCAAAGCCATAATTATTTGGCTTTCGGGTGGAAGAAAGGAGGAGAAGAAAAGAGGCTGATTTTTATTTAAAGGCTTGCCAAGTGAAAAGAGTGGATGAGGAGGAGAACAAAAGAAAAAATTAGAGAGTGAGAGTAAGGAACTCTTGGGGTAGAGTGAGGCTCTTGGGAAAATTCTGTGAGTGGGTGTACAAGGGATATGGGATTAGGTTATGTCGATTTAACTCATGTGTAACTTGTACTGTTTTTCTCATAGTGAAGAGCAATATCTCTCCGAGGACGTAGGCAGGTTTTTGCCGAACCTCGTAAATTTCTCGGTGTCTTTATTTCTTGTATTTTAAACTATTCAACTGTGGGTTTGTATGTTGGTGAGATAATCAGCCAAGGCACAACAGTGTAGGCATTCGAGAAATTTTCCCAACTGAAGGGGAGAGGAAGCAAGCCTATTAGAGGTGGACAAATGATGAGGAATATGTTATGCCTGACAACCTAACCATTGACATTAATGATGTCGATGAGTTGAAAACAGAGATCAAGCAGTTGCAGATATATGTGGTACACATGGCGCATGAGAATGATATTTCAGACCGAAAAATGTGGAAGAAGATCAAAGAGATAGCCACGATTATGGAGGAATTAAGAAAGGATGTTAAGACAAAAGGGGTGGAGGATTCGAGTGAGGAAGAAGAAGGTGGTGAGGAAGAGGGTGGTGAGGAAAATGATGGTGAGGAAGACGCTGAAGAAGAGGGTGGGGAGGAAGACATTGAGGAACAAGGTAGTGAGAAAGAAGGTAAGTAATAAGGTGAGGAAGAGGATGCAGATGTAGAGGAGGAAGAAAGAGAGGATCCCGAAGGGGAAGAAACCAAGGAATCAAAAGGGAAAAAAGGTGAGAACAGAGGGAAGAAGATTATGGTTGAAAAGGAGGAAGAGCCTTTGAAGGTGTTGCACGAGACTGTTGATTGGGACAGTCCCACAGATATATGTGCAAAGCTTCTTAACTTGTTGGGAGAAGCAGTACCGGACCGGCATCAAGAAGTCGATCTTTTCGATGTTGATGATGACGTAGTGGTATTCACATTTGGTTTCCAGCATTTGGGAACCAAAAAGAACATCCGTTTTATAAGAGCGACGGCGAAATTTATGGCACATAAAAGGGATCAGAAAAAGAAATGCAAAGTGGCCATAGATCATACGGCGATGGTCTTTGACCTCACCAAATGCCCAAAACTCTATGCCTGTCAGCCCTTGGAGGACATTATGTAGAGAGATTCCATAAACTAAAATGTAGATAAACAATGCATGCTTGATATGATGGAATTTTTCTATCAATTAAAGAACGTGAAAGAGAACGAAATTGAGAAAGTTACTCTTTAAAGTTTCATTTTGATTTATGCATGAAAGTTTTTGAGTTATTCTCCACGATTACATTGATGAGCCCTTATGTTTTTTGTTACATGGTTAGTCTGGTTGCCCCGTTAGCCATTAGGACGCCTAGAGGGCACTAATTTCTGGAGGTGCATTCTTCCTACTTCACAGGGTTTTCAACTTCTGTCTTTTATCAAGTTGTAATAATAATGCATGATCAAACTTTCGAAATGCAATGCACAAAACGTAGATGATTGTTGTATGTACTACTATTATACTCTGAACATGATGTGGTAATGATAGGGTTGAACCCTAATGTGTTTCCAAGTGGGGAGGCTGATGTAGGATTTGCAGGTTGATTAGTACTTAATTCATTCACATATTTAATTTACTATCTATGACTTCATCATCATTTTGGTGATGGCCAACACATCTTTACCCCTAGTTTGATGGCTGTTGGGGTTGGGGTGTGTCTCCGCAAGTAAACTAAGCTTCTAATCAAGAGATTGTGCCATATAGGGGTTAAAATCTATGTTAAGTTATTTTCTATGCCTTGTTATGTCAAGGACTTCAAATATTTTCTTCGTGTATGCCAAATGGTAATCACAAACTAAATGGACCTAGGTTCAACTCAGTTTGCAATCCGAATAAATATAATAACAGATTGTATAACAAACTATATAAAAATGAAAACAAAAGAAGGCAATGAAGTTAAACACTTATCAATTATCCAACAACAAAGTAATAACTAAAAAAAATACGAAATACAAGCAATCGGGTTGTAGATCTATTCGGACAAGTTCATACTAGTGACTGAAGTGCTTTGGAATGAAGTTTTCCTATAGGAAGTCGATACTATAAGTAATGCAGCAGAATTTTAAACATAAATTGCAAAAGTGTTGAATTACAAAAGAAATTTGGAAAAGATATTGTAGACATCGAAATTTCAGTGAAATAAATGTTAACCAATGTATTAAAATTACAACATTTATTTATTTCGCCTACATCACACACTCACTTCACCTACAACTTCCACTTATTTCACCTACATCACACACTCATTTCACCTACAACTTCCACTTACTTCACCAACCTCACACACTTACTTCACCTACCAACTCCATTTACTTCACCTACAACATCCACTCACTTCACCAAAAAAATGAGTGGTGGTGATTCACTCTCAAAGCCTATAAATAGGCTTCTCCATCAAGAGGAAGGGACACACACCAAAACCTTGAAGCCTTAAAGTTCTAAAGCTCTCAAGAAAATCCCGAAGAATCAAGAAAGCACTCTTCGTTCTTCGTCAAATCCTCCTTCAAGATCAAGCCCCAACAACCCTTGAAGAACTTCTACCAACTCAAGATCAAGCCCCGACGGCCCTTGAAGAAAGTGTTCATCATTCATCATCCGTTCATCCTAAGATCAAGCCCCAACGGCCCTTTGGATCAACAACCTCAACAAACCCATACACCCATTCTTCAAGATCAAGCCCAACGCCCCTTGAAGATCCATTCATCAACTGTTCATCCTTAGATCAAGCCCCGACGGCCCTTTGGATCAACAACTCATCCACAAACCTACACCCTACGAAGATAGAATCAGAGGATCAAATTACAAAGAGATCGTAACCCTAAAATAATTAATACACAAAATATTATTTTGTACACGTATTCTTGTTTCTTGTTTCAGGAATTTTTCGTGTTTACAAATTTGGCACGCCCAGTGGGACATCTCTACCTCTCATCTCTATCCTCAAATCATCGAAAAACGCAAATGGCATCAAGAAAGGATCAAGTTGTTCCTGCAGTCAAAGCGAAGAACAAGAACATTATTGCAGCAACTGGTGATATTTCGGGCATCATAACCCGAAGTAAAGCAAGAGCTCTTTTTGCCGCGGCATCCACCCCTGCATTAACTCTGTCAAAGGAACAAGAGCACCTGAGGCACGAGCCTGTGATCACCCTAGCCTCGCTAAGGGCATCAAGAGGAGAAAGCCCAAGGAAATACTCAGAGTCCCTACTCTCCGACGCTGATTCGAGCAGCAATACAACCATGCAAGTCATGACCACTGGAGCAACTTCAATCGAGGAGCAGCTAGCTCAGATGAATGAAGCAATCGCAAAGCTCACACGGACTGTGGAAGAGAAGGACTTGCAGATTACCGCACTCGTCAACCAACTAGATGCGCGGCCTGACGTGAAAGTCGACCCAAATGATAGCCTAGTAAAGAAAGAAGTCGACGAAGAAGAGGAGCCTCCAACAGAGAAAGTTGAAGAAAAGCTGAAGCTAGACCAAGCAACGGCATTCATAGGATCTCTCTCTATCCAGCAACTACAAGAGATGATTGCAAGCACTATCAAGACACAGTATGAAGGAAGTTCACATGACTCTGTACTGTACTCAAAGCCCTACTCCAAGAAGATTGATGCTTTGAAGATGTCAAGGGGTTATCAGCCCCCAAAATTCATGCACTTCGATGGAAAAGGCAACCCGAAGCAACATGTCGCCCATTTCATTGAAACTTGCAACAATGCTGGGACAGAGGGGGACTACCTCGTTAAACAGTTCGTGCGTTCACTGAAAAGTAATGTTTTTGATTGGTACACTGACCTCGAACCCGAGTCTATCAACAGTTGGGACCAGCTAGAAAGGGAATTCCTCAATCGCTTCTACAGCACTCGTCGTACTGTAAGCATGCTAGAGCTAACCAGTACGAAACAGTGGAGAGATGAACCTATCGTCGACTACATAAATAGATGGCGCTCCTTAAGTCTGGATTGCAAAGATCGGCTTTCTGAAACCTCTGCCATTGAGATGTGCGTTCAAGGCATGCACTGGGGGTTACATTACATCCTCCAAGGCATAAAACCAAGAACATTCGAAGAGCTAGCAACTCGTTCCCACGACATGGAGCTGAGTATCGCTAATCATGGGGAAAAGGAGCCGATTACTAACTTCAAGAAGGATAAAGTATTCGCCCCAAATGTAGACAAGACTGGGAAGAAGCCTGTTAAGGAAGCTTTCACCGTCAACACTACCCCCATCAAGACCTCCTCAGCGCCCATCAAGATCTCCTCCAAGAAGAAAGCGAAGGAGATAAAGACAAGTGAGGCTTCTCGCACCCAAGACAGATACAAGAGCACCTTGAGAGAGTTGGAACAGAAAACGTACCCTTTTCCTCACTCTGATATGGCTGCCATGTTAGATGACTTGCTGGAAAAAAAAGGTGATTGAGCTACCCGAATGCAAGCGTCCTGAAGAAATGAATCGCACAAACGATTCTAGGTACTGCAAGTACCATCGTATTGTGAGCCATCCTGTTGGCAAGTGCTTCGTTCTTAAAGAACTCATCATGAAGCTAGCACAACAAGGGCAAATTGAGCTCGACCTTGAGGACACGGCCGCAACGCATACCACTACAATTGCGTTTGGATCGTTTAATCCTGTGCCTCTCCAAGCGACACCTGACCATTCCCGTGAATGCTCAAGCTGCACGGCACCTCCTACACAACCATCACTGGAGGGAAGCGACCAAGATGCACATGCTTGACGATTTTTTTGAATCGGTGGTTGTGTCGCCTCTCCTTTTATAGAGGTATCGATCACATCCAACATGCACACTCTGAAGATTGCCCATTCGTGAAAATCGTCTCCAGTGTATTTTGTTTTAACGGCCCTTTGAGATTTTACTCCATCCAACCCTTCTCTTTTAACATCTTTGAAAATGGCTAACTCATCTAACATTTGCTTAGATTTGAGTCTCAGCAGTGATATAGGTGCGCCGCATCAGGGTAATATATGGTGCCCGTCTTTCTTATCTTCTAATGGCCCTCTTACAGGTGACGACTCCGTGATGAAGGATGCAACAACAGCTACGATAGTAGCTAGGAACCTCCTCACCCTTAGAGATAGTAGGCTGCTTTCAGGACGGTCCGATGAGTTGGCCGTTCAAGAGTCCCTAGCTCTCAGTGTTCAGTGTGCGGGCTCTGTGTCCAACATGGGCCAACGCCTACTTGCTCGATCCCGTCAAGTTGAATCATTGATGGCGGAGGTGGAAAATCTTAAACAAGAGATCAAACAGCTTAAGCGCGAGAATAGAGGTTTGCACGTGCTTGCAAATAATTATTCGACGAGCATGAAGAGGAAACTTGATCAGCTACAAGAATCTGAAGGTCGAATTCAAAGTGACCGTCAAAGGCTTGCGGCTTTCTTCCAGAGGCACCTTTTTCCTTCGTCATCTAGCGTTCCACCAAGTATTGAGGCCTCGAATGATCTATCTTCGATGCCTCCCGCTCCTGGAGTTTTGCCAAGTAGTGGGGCTTCACGTGAACAACCTTTGTGAAAGCTCCATCTTTTTTTTTTTTTTTTTTTTTTTTTTTTTTGTACGCACTTGTAATTTCTCGGAGATTAATGGACATGCTTTATTTTATTCAGTGTATTGTGCTAAATATAGATAAAACATATATATCACCAAGATGTGTTATTTCCTTTTTTTTTTTTCTTTTTTTTTTTCTTTTTTTTTGGGTGATTTTGTTGATGATTTTGCCGTACACAGTTTATGCTCTTGCGGGCCAGAAGCGTTTGTTGTCACCTTTTACGCTCGTGCAAACAAGGAGCTTTTGGTGCCATTCACAGTTTCAGCTCGTGCAGGCAAGGAGCTTTTTTTGTCACCTTTTAGGCTCGTGCGAACGAGAAGCTTTGGTTGTTGTTGTGGATTTGTCAAGCGATCTGGGAGAGGCATTCCTCGCAATCTTCATAGGAAGGAGCCTTGACCGAGTAATTGAAGAAGTCTTCTGGGAAGAGGTCGCACATTATGATGGGGATGGACGATCTTTATGTCAAAATTTCATTATCTCTAACACTTTCACATTGTTCTGGAGGTTGATAAGAGCTGT